GCCAACGGCAACAGATTTTGCACATATTGGTATTCGTATGTCGTACTCCGTACAACACACATTCCTGTCTTTATTCCGTTTGCGTAGAATACGACAGCCAATGGAGCCCGAATACCCACGGATCTCGATGGTTTGTACCTGAATCCGCTCGCACAGAGACAGGAGTTTGTTACCAATTGTCTCGGTGTCGGTGAAGACGGAGGGAGGACGATGAGGATGAGGATGAGGATGACGGGCTCAGCCTATTTTTCAACCACGTTTTTGTCTTGGATCGGATATTGGTTTGGTAAAGATTGAAACCGTGCAACGGTAGCCGTCTACGTCATTCTATGAGCCCCTATTTACGGCATACTATCGATATTTGAAGACTGGTGTAGGGACGATGTCGCACAATGTATTTGTTTGTACGATTGCTCAACCTAAGCTTGCCTGGTGACACCCTGTTCGCGTTGAACGTTTCTCTGTCCACTTACACAGGAAGTTGGTGGCTTTTCTGTGGCTTCTTGGGTGGCTGACGTAGATGGTAAACGTAAATAAGTTTAATACGGCATACGGGAGTTTGAACATTGGATAATGCCAGCATCTTGATTGCTACGTCTACCCTCAATCGGGCCGCTGGGCTGGTTGTCTCGCACCCACTGTTTTCCAACGGCCATGGGTAGAAATGCAACAGGCAACGCGATGATTGGTCTGCTGCGGTACAGTTTTCGCTACCCCGTTGGTAGTGGAAGGACGGGCTAGGTGCCGTTGGAGAGAGAAAATACGGGGTAAAATGAGTGACGTTTGGAGTCTTTTCCTTGTTTCCCCTGCTGAAAAGAGGCCATGGAGAGTTTGAAGCAACCTACGGAGCCAGAGAGAAAGGGGGCGTGTGGAAAAGGAGGACAGAGGTATTTCGTACGAAGTAGAGAATCTTTGAAAACCGAAGAAAAAAAAATCAAAATGAAACAAACACACAGACCTCTCGTTTGGGCCTCGGAAGAAACGTGCAAGCGAGAGAAAGAGAGAGTGGACCCCCATCGTTGGACTTCTAGAAGGATTCCTTGGTTGCCTCGAACGACAGGATAAGGACGCCAGAAACAGACCCAGATGAATCTTAGGACGAGGGGGGTGTGGCTGGAATAGAAAAAGAGAAGCAGGAATCTCCATGGCCACGGAGTAGAGTGGAAAAATAAACAATTAAACCTGACACGAAATAAAAGCAAAATTTCCAAAAAAGCCGGGCCGTTCAGCGAGTTACCCTTGTCCTAAACCCAGGAATCCACTTCTTCCCTGGTCCGGCTTCAGTTAGCATGGCATTTCCACTCAGTAGTCTCGTTTATCTCTCTTTTTCCCTCTCCCTAATTAAACCAGGCGTGCCAGGGACGAAGGTGGTACTTTGGAAGAAAAAGGATGCATCCCAAGAGCCTTGCCTAGCGTCCGGTCGCCTGGCAAAAGTCATCAGGAAGCCGACGGAGTCATACGACGCAGCAGGGCTGGAAACACAGCGAAACATGGTAATTCAAGATCCAAAAGAAAGAGCCTCGAAGCCGGAAGGAGAGGCAAACCGGACAACGAAAAGAAAACCTGAGGCGAACCATCCGCATGTTGCTCGTGAAAGCTCGTCAAGGTTCGTCAAGGTTCGTCAAGGGTGGTCAAAGATAAGCGGAAGCTGATGCGCCGTCCTCACTTTTTTGGGCATACACACGGCCTCTTAACGGGACGAGATGCCACACCAATCGATCCTCTGAACCACTTTGGCCGGTAGGATTGGCCGGTAGGTAGAGACACACTGGTGGCATTCTCTCGGCAAGGAAGAAACAAGGCCATCACAAATTGGGCCACTCCAAGCAGCGCGATCAGAAAAGACCTCACACCCTCTTCGTCGAAAACGGCCGACCGTTGTCAGAAGCACCGGCGGCGGCGCCATGTTTCGGCAAAGTCCTTGCACCGTGTGCCGACTTTAAGGGTAGATACGTACGATACTGGGAAACCTGTTGGCAGCAGCATCCTTCGGCCTCCTTTTGGATAGTATCTTACGTGCTCCTTTCCGAATATGGCTATTGGGATCACCAAACATACGTATTCCGTGCGGTCCGTTTTGTCGCCAACGTTTGTCTGATCACGTCCAGTTTTTTTTATTTTTTCCCCCTTTTTTCCCTTTCTTTTTTCATTTATTCTTTCGCGACCGCTCGAACCGAACGGCTGCAGCTTGCCGTTGTGCAGGAACAAGAACAAACGAGACGAACTGCGAGGCTGCCTCCCGCCCTGCCCGAGAGTTTGGCATGCCGTGTCTGATTGCTCGGGCAGGCAAACAGCAGCAAAATGCAAACAGGAAACCAACCTATGGTCCACTAGGCGCTAGTCTGGGGTTTTGGCTGGCCAGGGTCAGGGTCAGGGACATCGACTCGGCGATACTCCATCCCTCACATGCTAATCCTCGAAGCATCAGCGTTTGATGGCTTGGACATCACGCCCTGTGTAATTCCACTTACTGCTACCCGAGTATGTGTCTGCAGATGATTTGGAGAGTATTGTCACGTGCGGTTGTTTCGTAGGATCCATGTGTGTTATCCTAGTTATTTCTTCATACTTTTTTTTTTTTTTTAAACTAGCTTCATTTCTACGGAAGGTCGTTTGTGTCTCCGGAAGTTGTATTCAGTTTACGCGTGTGACCGCAGAGAGGAAGAAAAAGCAAACAAGAAAGGGTTTGCGTTCTGTTGGGTCGCATTGGCAGTCCCCTGTCCTCTGTACTTTGCATTTGTTCACTTTGTCGTTTTATTGGTGTTGGTGAATTGCATCGCTTTTGCCCTAAACTGCAGCGGTTTAAGAGCGTGTGAATAGTTGGGCTGGCCAGCAACTCTGTCGTTCGGTCTGAAAACCTGACCTGTATTCCTGGCCGAGGCTTGTCCGAGCTGCGCCACACGCCCTGCTTTTGATGGCAGCGTGTTCCTTCAATGATTCTTGCAACTTTCAGCCCTGGCAGTTTTGGGTGTTGATATCATAGTCCCCTCTTCCAAGCCTGTGGTCCTTGTCAGGCAGCCTGAGTCTTGCCCTGGCTTTTGTTGCAGTTCCGTGGCCTTGCTTCATACGACGACGGTGCAACACAGCTAAAGAAAGGGAAGAGTAGGTCCACATCGCGGCCTGGATGGGCGTCAATGAAGGGGGGATGTACGGAAAGAAGCAAGGTTAAAGAAACCAAAACTGTTCCGTAATACTCCGTAGGGGCTGACCCGACCAGCTGGATCCCTCTAAATTTAAACGAGAGGCGAACCCATTTTGGGACCGAGTATGTTTGTAGTAATGAGTATTTTTCAGTCTTAAGAATGGAACATAAAGCTGAGCATGGCAAAAGGGGCCACCGAGCACGAAGCGTGCAACGTGGGATGAGACGAAAAAAGGGACGCCACTTACCAGGTTCGTGGGAGAGCAAATGGGGTCTCCAAAGCAGGAAAAGGAAAACGTTCGGAGAACGGAGTACGCTGTAATTGAAACAAGGGAAAAGCGTGGGGGGCAGTCGTTTTGGCAGAGGGGCATCACGAGAGACAGAGGGGGTGTAAGTTTCTTTGGCAATTTGGCGGGGGCGGGTTTATTGACAAAGACCGAGACCAAGGGCGATTCGAAACAAAAAGAGACAAGATGGCGAAATGGCGACGTAAGAGGGGGCGTGTGTTGTAGGCAAGATGGGGGAGAGCGTCAAGAAGACTCGAAGAGTTGAACGGCTCAGAAGCACACAATTGTGTCGCGAATTCAGTCATCTTCACAACATATTGTGTCTGTTTTTCCACATCTCACACTTGCTTCCATACTGGCCGATAGGAACAGAAATGCTGCCTGCCATGAAGAGCACTGCTGTCCAACAGATGACCCACGTCCTGCGTACGAAATAGAGACCTGTTCGTGTTCGGATTCGGACTTTGTCCGTAAACATTCAACGAGGCGTCTATATTGCGCTGCGAGACGGCGCACAAGCAGAAGAGGAAAGGGAGCTATTGACAAACGACGTAAAAGAGAAAGCACAAGAAAACAATATTGATGGGGCGGTACAACGGCCTGCGTACTGCTACGCAAGGGACTGAAGGGACAAGAGGGCAGCCCTAAGAATAGAAAACGAAAAATTCTCTAAACTGTTAACACAGCCGTGTTAGTATATTGGCTTTGATGAGACGTGTTGTGCTCTTGACACAACATGCTGTGCTGCCCGCACTTGTGGAACACTTGTATCCCGACGACGTGGCGTTGACTTGGACAGCTGGCGGGTATGATGGAGCTAGATGTAGTGGTGTATAGGCGTGCAGGCGAGGATTGGTTGGTAAGTACGTGACTTATTTCAGCTTCCGCCCGGTTTTCAGCTTTCGTCTACAACAGCGTAGATGTATTGTCCGTCGTGTAAGATAAGATTTATATGTTGCACTGGGGTGCGATATCATAGGAATATGGAAGAAGAAAAGACCATGAACGCCTGTGGTTACATGGATGACACGCAATGCATCTCATCTTAGCCCGCTCAGAACGGCGTATGGCATTCCTTTTGGCACTCTTGTGGCAGGCGCAGGACCTTTCGGGAAACAAATCATAATAAGACGAACAAAGTTGACGCAAGGATTGCCTCCCTGGGAGAGCTCTGCTTGGATGCTTGTGTCCAAGGCCGGTTTTGATACAGACTGCCTCCAGCCCCCTTTTGCTTTTTCTTTTCCTTTTTGCTCCCACGACTGGCTCCACTCGTTATATTCGTTTCTAGTCTCCCATCGCCGCGAATTCAGAGTTTCTCGTATCCTCTGCTGCTCCATGGTGCCTGCAGCAATACTACCCCAAACGCAGGAAGAAAAAACCGTTCCGCCGACTTGTTGGGACGGATAGTTCCCTGACATTGGCGTGGTCTCATATTCTTAGCGCCATGCAGCAGGGAAAGAAGCTGGGTCGAGCTATTCCATTCTGAGGCAGACCAGCTCACAGCGGTTTGCGAGTATGCTGGATCAGGAGATTTTACACAGCTTGGCTGGAAAAAAATGATGAAAGATGTATTAGCTTGCCGACTTGTGTGACCCGAGCGCCCATGCGAGTGTTGCAAAAGAGACATGGAATCGTGTCTTGTCAGGCCCGCAGGCCCAAGTCGTTGGGCAGCCGGGCTGTCCTCGTAGGTCGTGGGCGTTCTTGACAGAAACGGATTGCGCCATAAGGATGTCGCTGTAACCGCGACGTTCTCCCTTGAGGGAAGAAAGACGGCGACCTCTCAAGGGAAATTCGCTACGACTGTGCTGGTTTGTATTTCTCTCTTTCTTCCTTTTCACCTTTGATTGTTTGCCTGACCCTCCCTGGGAGGAAATATAGGGCGAATTGCCAGTATAGAAAGGACGAGAGGTGGCCCGAACCAATGCGTTTGGGCATCCAGCTGTTGTCATTGTGGCATTTGGCATGATGTGACAATGTCCGTGTTTTTATTTGTTGTACCCCGTATCGTACCTGCATTCCGGGCAAGCCTGCTTGACAGCTGCAGTCCAGAACACGCGTCGGTACTTGCTCCTGGAGCGCGCAGAGAGCATGCAGTAGCGGGCATGACACTCGATCTGCTGAGCTACCCACACGGAATTGCTATCCCATGTCACTCCTCTGTCTTTCTGTAGTGTGGATGCGTCCTGAATGGGCGGCTCAGCGGGTCAAGTACCCGCCACTTGGGTTCGTTTGGGATTTACCCCAAAACAGTTGCGCGTTGGAATGGCGATCGCTGGTCTCTTTTTTCGATTTGTGTTTTTGTTGCTGTGTTTGACGGTCAGTGACCTCTCATCTGCCTGTCTCGCTTTCCGCGACGGGGCCTGTTTCTTTTCCCTGTGGCGACTGTGGTGATATCTGACCTCATTCTGGATTCCTTTCAGCTTTCTTTTCTTTTTTGAGTTTCCCGTTTTTCTTGTTTGTTGTCTCACCCTGTCGTCTCTCCCTACCTTGGGCATGGTGGAACAGACTCGAAATTGGATTCACGCCCCGTCTGCTCTCCTCCCCTGGCAGGGAAGTCGCTGGGTGTACGGAGTTGTAAAAATGGGTCGCTGTCAATCAACTATTGTCGGGGAAGCTTCCGTCCACCGTCCTCAGCTCGCACCACGGAACCAAGGAATGTGATTACAAGATTCGCGGGTTCATGTCTCAGGCGAAGAAGGCGCGAAGGCGAGGAAAAAGCACAGAGATCAGTCGTTAGAGCGACGATCGCACAGCGATGTCTGCCACTGGGATCGCGGAAATTGATTCTTGGGTCTCTGTCTTGGGATGCTGGCTTCGGGGTGCTGTGGCCTATTTGTCGATTTGTCGCACTCGAACTCGACGAAGCAACGACACATTTGCCGACCGGCCTTGTGTTTCGTGCTTTGTGTGTCGTAATACTACGCCGTCAAATAAAGTTGGCGGTGTCTTGCGGCTAGCAGCAGATGACGCTCACAGCCATTCGCCGAAGTGGCAAAGAGGCACCGGGTACTGTCGTCTGCTTATGGGTAAGATTACTTGCACCACTCTGGTCTACAGAATCGCATATCGTTGTGCAGGACTCTGCCTCATCTGCCAGCGAAGTACTCCTTATCGTCTTGCCTCGTTTTAAACAAACCACTGCGCAGAGGGCGGGAATCTTGAATCTAATCGTGTTGTGCAGCACAGCATTTTGCTGCGGACAGCTCGTACCTGACGGAACGGGCCTCGCAGGTCAGCCTGACACCAACTGGGCGGCTGTGAGGGCATGATGTGCGAGGCGTGGATGTCAGCAAGGTTGGTTGTCTGGTCATTGTTGTTCGATCCTTTTTGTTAAGAGTGTCCACGACTACGACGCAACCGTTCTCTTGTCCAGCGAGTGCGGGGGGTTGCCAGAGTGTTGGTCTTGGGTTGTAAAGGGGGTGCTGGGAAGCAAGGTCGAGAGACGACGAGGGAGGGAGGTATACAGACAGTCAAGGGTGAAGTCAAGTCCGGCTTGCTACTTCGCAGATGTTGATACTCTCTGTAATATACGTAAGGCCTTTCCGAGGTGTCTTTCCAAAGGTACTCGACCAGGCCTACTGGATCGACGAGCGGAGATGTTGAGCAGTAAAGGCCGTGGATGGAGGGAGGTGCCAGCACTGGGATGTATGCAATAGTATGGGATGCGGCGAGAAACAGTCACAAATACGACAGAAAGCAGAAAGAGAAATTATGTAAAAAAGCCATTGAAATTGAGGCGAAAATATCAACACACTATCAGCCACTCAAGCAGAAACACGGAAAGTGCTCGAGGTCCAGTCCTGCCTGAAGGAGGCGATCGAAAAGAAAGCAAACAAACAAGGCAGGAGCAAACAGCTAAAGCTTTCGAGGGAAGGAGCAAAACGGCCACGTCCATCGTTACTTCCCAAAGCGACATCTTTTCGCATTATAAGAAGGCAGCCAAAGCCCCTTCCTTCCCTCGTCTCTCGTCCTTCCTATTGTTGTCATCCTTCATCGAAAATCGTGTCGCATCTGGCTAACAACATCCTCTATTTTGAGCTTCATTCTGGCCGTCATCGGATTTTCTCACCTCTGTGCGAACACACCTACACTGCCTCATTGACACCGTTGGCTGCCAAAACACCTTCACACGGTGACAGTGACTGTACCTCAGATAGGCCAGCGCAACGACCTGCGGAAACCAGCCAGAATCCTCCTGCTCTTCTAGAAGCCCGCCTCAGGCCTTCTCTGCACCCCCCGTCATCCTCGCTGCCGGGAGCCCTTTCGAACACCCCTTCGCAAATCCCTCCCAGCGGCCCTTTTCTTCCGTACACCCCTCTCCCCTGCTCTCACGCTCTCGGCCTGTCTGCCTCTCTTCCTCTGCCCTTGGTGTTGCACTCCCAGCGCGGAGCATCCAACGCCTTCTCCCGCCCTGCAGGTCCCACTCGCGACCCGTACCTGGCACTGGTCTCCATTTCCTAATACCAGCTATTAGTCTGAAATCAAAGTCTACCCCCCCCCTTTCGCTGCCTTTTCCCTGTTCCCCTGATCCCCGGCGCCGCTAAATACACACGCGACCGCGCGCAAAGAAAAGGCCAGAGAGAAAAAAAGAAAATACCCATCCCCCTATTTTCCCTCTCCAAACCTTTTTATTATTTGAAATTTGCGCTTGTTTCGTGGTTATTTTGCGCCCAGTGTAGGTCTGGTCCTTTCTGTACAGCGTTCGCCTCCCCTTCCCTGGCCTGTCGCTTTCTTATTTTTTTCTTTCCATTCTTTTCACACAAAAAGAGGATCGCCCCCGACTTTGCGACTCGCTTCAGCTTCCTTCTCTCCCTTTTCTTTTTCTCTCCTATTCCTCATTCCGCCTTCATATTTATCTTCCTCCGTATCCCTTTCGCTTTTTTCTCCTTTTTCCTGTACTCTATTCTACATTACTTCTAATAATCTCTTTTACACATTTCTTAGCTTCACCATTTACTCAACCTCAACATCCTCGCCTTTTTGCGCACCAACTTCAGCTCAGGAACACACACCGTCCAGAACATTTGCAACTCGACATCTATTTCTGCCCAACCTTCTGGCTTTGCATACATCTGCAGCCGCATGCGCCGTCCCATAAAATCAAGTGAGTCAGAAGAATCATGGACTTGTGTGATGCGGTCAACGGAGCAGCCGGTGCGGTCAACTTCGACTTGGTCTCTTTTTATTTTGTTTTCGGTCGCACACTTATTTGACTATAAATGGGGGCACCTCTGCGAGGCCTTTTGTTCTATAGCTGCTAATATCCCGTCACAGAATAAACATCTTGTTTCTGTTAGCTCGTGTCTACTGCCGCAGACCAATACGCGCACACGACAAACTACATTCTTCTCCCTACCTCTCTTCAAGAATAAGAGCCTTCTACATATTCAAAATGGTCGGAAGCCCATCACAAAGTCTCGTCAACAACGGCCGTGGTGCCTACGACACAACAGGCGTTCCGAAGCCGACGCCGCCAAAGCCTCGGTAAATTATCGAGAAGCTAGAGCTCAGAGAGGCATCTCGCGATGTTTTCTCGTCGCTCACTGCCCACTGGTCTGACAGCTACTTGACCTGTTTTGGCAACAACTCATCGTTCTCTCTTTTCTTCCTGCGAACCTGGCCGGCTTCATCTCTCCATTTCTCTCGCCATCGTTTAAACTACTGGACCCCGACACCGGGGCGCCGAGACGCTCACCGCATTCACTTACAACAACGCATCTTGCATGCTGCATGCAACGCCAATAACCGAATTTCCTTTTCGACAAACCCATACCCACTCACCAGCTCCCACCGCCTTTCGCTCTATCGTTTCCCACTGTACTACTATCGCCTGTTCCATTTTCTCTTGTTTGCTGCATGTCCGCGTCATTGTTTGCTTTTCCGTCGCATTATCTCTTCAGCCATATTTCCTCTTTTCTTATCAACTTTTTAATACTCACAAATCCTTCGAGGAGAGAACACGAGGATGATCAACAAACATTTACACTATTCGGCTCGCTGCCAAACCAACGACTTCGTCTTGCTTCCCAGCAGCTAGGCATGGGACGACATAACAACCAACAAAACGCGCAGCATCGAGGAGGAGAGAATGCCTTCTCGGAGACATGGACGATTTCGCGGTTTTTTTTTTTCATTTCATTTCAGTCTACTGTTTTTTCCATTTTCGGTTCGGCGTTCAAATTATAGACGGTCTCAATTTCGGTTTCTCTTTTCGGATTTTTTATTTTTCAAATCCCTCTCACCGTTTCTTCATAACTACCGCCTCTCGACGCACATCCAACACCGACAACGCATCGCGATCCGCGCCCACCTTCCTCCAGTCGTTGTCTCACCGGAGACGGTCATACCCGCGAACCAACCGGACAATGTTATCGTCACCTCATGAATGTTCGTCGCTGCCCAACGTCATAGTTCAGCTGCAAGGTCTTTTTTAGGCCGGCATTAGTGTGAATGCTCTCACCTTCATTTCGACAGCGTCTCCGTCGACGGGTCCTATACTTTTGCGCTTCTGTTTGCCCCGCTACGCACTTTTTCTGCTTCGCAGTTCTGTTTTATTATCGAAAAGGGCATCGTTACAAAGGGTTTGATTTTTTATGGATTTGTTCGGAGATGGATAGGTTCTTCACTTCCGCGGGAGGCCTGTCTGCCACCTGAGCAATATGGATTTGTATTTTCTGTTTTATGGGACGGACAACAAAAATGGGGGGGACCGGAAAAGAACTTTGCTTTTTCTGCTTTGATTTTGTATTAGCTTCTTTTTATCAATGGGCCATGCATTATATAGATAGACGGTTTCTTTCGCTTTTTTCGCTTCGTTATTTTTTTTCTTGCTTTTATACACTCGGCCAGGTTTTTCCTGTTTGGTCTTCACAGACCCATGGAAAGATTCATCCCGAGTATGGGTGGACTTTCTCGTTTCATCACTTCTTTTCACTCTACTTATTTCTAT